GATTAATATATTAAGTAATTTTCGTATTGCTAAACAACAGGAATTGATAGAAATTTTAATCAAATTTCAAATAATAATTAATTACAAAAAATATTTTATTCAAATGGAAACGTTTATATTAAAGTAAAGTTGGCTTTAATGGTAATTCAATTCTTGATCAGATATTTTTTAATTATTACTTTTTTAATATTTAATGTTCATGCTTAATTTTTAAAATTAATGAATGTAAAAACCATTTAAAATTACATAATGCTAGTTGAAAATATTTAAAAATTGCTTACCTTAAAATCCGGCATATAACGCTTACTTTTGACACAAAAAAATAAAGTCGAAATTTAAAGGTGCGCCTTAAACGCCGGGTAGAAAAATGATAGCTTCAAAAATAAAAATAAAAGAAATGAGTATTAAAAAATTTAGACTTCTACATATATCGAAATACTGTTTATTTAAAAGAAATAACATACCTAAGAAACTTAAAGAGTTGTTGTTCTCGAAGTATATTATTTTCCAAAAGCCTCGGATAATACCTCGAATAAATGCCTTCAAAACATAATATCATTACACATATCCATTTCAGGTTCCTTCGTCAGATGGGGGGGGGGGCATTATACGGTGAATATACCTAAAATTAAAAAATATAGCTTGAAAGTATTAGTGCGCGTTTCACTGCGAATATACCTGAAAATTAAAATATATAGTTTGAAAGTATAGATGACGCGTTGTACGCCGAATTTCACGGTACTGATTATCTATTATTTTTTTTTTATTGAAGCCAGATAAAACAATTTTCTTGCACCATAAGTATCACACGGAATAACAGAATTAAGTAAAACAAACAAAATAAAATAAACAGAAAAAATAAGCAAAAGTTAACGGAACAAATGAAATAACAAAAACAAATAATTACAAAGACAAAAAAAGTACATTACAAAATTAAACAATTAAGTAACAAAATCAAAACAAAAAGTTATAAAATCTCATCAATGAAGCTTAAAAATAATGCGGTTGAAGCTTTACTTGAAACAAGCTGAAAAAAATTAGGAGGCCAGTTGATTTTAAAAGCATGTAATTTAACCTTCATTTTCTTTCTTTAATTTTTAACTACAAAGGATAAGATACTAACACTTTGCTCGTATTAACAATGCAGTCACAAAGTTAAGAAGGCACTAGTTAAATCTACTGAGGTACACTTTAAAATTACTGTGACCAGTAAGGAATTGTGTGGTTTTAAAATTTTCAAAGAAGTAAATTGGTATCAATGATTAAAATAAATAAATTTAAGAACAATTTGATAAACGCATGTGTGTGTGTGTGTGTGTGTGGTGTGTGTGTGTGTGTGTGTGTGTGTGTGTGTGTGGTGTGTGTGTGTGTGTGTGGTGTGTGTGTGTGTGTGTGTGTGTGTGTGTGTGTTTTTTTTTTGTGTGTGTGTGTGTGTGTGTGTGTGTTGTGTGTGTGTGTGTGTGTGTGTGTGTGTGTGTGTGTGTGTGTGTGTGTGTGTGTGTGTGTGTGTGTGTGTGTTTCTAATTCTAAATATTATTCCACTTTCGTATCGATTTCTCTATTTTTATAAAACCTTTGTAGCGTTTGCTTTCGATAATTAAGCCGCCTTAAAATTGATATGGCTTTATTATAACAGTTTTTTCCTGTTCCGTACAGCATTTTAGAATTCTGAAAAAGCTTTGTTTATATTCATCCATAATTTCTAAATTTGATTGATTCGTATAAAATATAATTTGTGTGCATTTTATGTAGGATCACGTTTTCATTATGCGACAGAAATGAGAACTTTTCAGTTGCTGCCATGTAATTGAATAATTTAGTTGATTTAATAAAAGTATATGAATGGTAATTTTAATCTAATTTCTTATTTGAAAAAATGAATTTTTAAATTGCTGAGTTTATGGGAACTTTTCTAAATACTTTGAAGAGTTTTCTAAGCTTATCTCAATTTAAATTAATTTATAAATTAGTCTGTAAAATATTTTCTCAAATTAAAATATCTTGAATATAAAAATTTCTTTTTAAAACTGCAATTGTTTCTTGGATTTGTTTTAGTAAATTTGTTCTCTAGCATGTTTTGATTTAATGACAGTAACATAAATTTTTAATTAAATTAAATGTGTTAGTGTATTCTATGTTAACTGAAAAAAATATTTAACATAATGGAATACTAATGGTATATTCAGCATCTTTGGTTGAAATTTTTGAACTGTTATCTGAAACTTTTTGTTATTTAGCCTGAAGTCTGAGATTTGGAACTTTGTTTCTTTTGGAATTTATAGAAATCTTAAGATTTCTCAATTATGTATCATGTTGCATGCATATAACTATGTAATAATTTCAACAGAGCTTTGGAATCAATATTTTGTCCGTTCTATTTAAACGAATGCGTAATTTTGCTGAAGACGAGATAAATCTGTGTAATATTTTAGACTTATTTGGGGCTTAGCAAAATAATACATTCTAATTTTTTGCATAAAAAATGTTAATTACTTTTTCGAAGTAATTAAAGTATATTTTAAAAGTAAAAAACCATAGACTTAAATATTTTTAGAAAGTGTTACTAGTCTTATTTTCAATTATATCTTTGATTCCTTTACAGAAATAAATAAATGGAAATCTCAATGTTTCCGTTATATTCAAGGTTTAAAGAGTATCAACTGTTTCATTATTTAACATTTTCATTTAATACAGTGTTTCACTTATGTATATAAATTATTTTTACTTGAAAATAACTCGGAAATTTTCAAATTTCCCACTTCTTTCCGTAATTAAATTATAAAATTCTCTTACAAGAAGTTCGTAAACCTGTTTTTTCCATAGTGGATTATTAAACAAAGGAAAGCGCTATAAAATTTTAAGACAAATCAAAATTATCATCTATTTTTAATAAACATTTTTGGGGTTTTTCTTTAAAGCAATTATAGCTTATTTATTTTAAAATAGCATTTTATATTAAATGAACATTTATTATTAGGTGATAATTTGAAATAAAATTAAAGTCTAGGTAGAACTTTTTTTGATAACAGATGGATGTCTGAGTCTTAAATAACATTTTTTTAAATTTCTGCGTCAAATTCCTTCGATTTTCCTTATTTGTTTATAAGCGATTGGATAATTACTTTTCTTTTTTTTAAATTAAAATAAAGCTCATTGGCTGGCGATTAATATGTTTTCATAAGAATTAAAATTATGGTAGAAAATTATATTATTTTCCTTTTTCATACTGAATATGAAAAATATTATCCAAAATACTAGTCTTATTTTAAAATTAAACATTCAAAAATTAAATATTTTTTGCTTATATTTCAATGTCTATTTGTACTAACTTAGTGAGACAGAAGCTAGATATTTTATGAAGTACTTAATTTAAAACAAAATATTAAATATTTTAATTGGATTGGTGCGTAATGCAATTATATAAACTGAGTTAAATATTTTAAACAAAATATTAAGTTTAATTGGGATAAAGAAACAAAAAAATGAGTCTTTATCATTTAAATTTATATTTATGTAATCACTTCACATTATGACAAATAACATAGTAGCATTCAAACTTTTTTATAATTTGTAATAAATTGTTGCTATTGAAGTGGCGCGCTTATCCGGTAGGATAGAACCAGGTACCTTTGGATCCGAAGCCGAGTAATTTATCCACTACACCAAAATGATCAACTTGGTGCGGAGGTTGTTACTTTCTTAAGTATATGATACCGCTACATACTCCCCCACCAGTGAGTCGGTGGATAGGCGAACGAACGATGTATTTGTTTAATCAAGCGTGTTTTCTGCTGCGTCATGAGTTGTGACGGCTTTGCTGGTTGCGTCATTCGTGCGTGACGGCTTGTTGATTGCGTCATATGTGAGACGACTTTGTTCATTGCGTCATGTGCCTAATGGCTTTGGTTGCATTTGCGGTGAATAGATGGCGCCACGACAGTTCAGAACGTTGCGTCCTTCTGAGTTCAGCCAGGGTCACCAATGAAGTGGCGCGCTTATCCGGTAGGATAGAACCAGGTACCTTTGAATCCGAAGCCGAGTAACTTATCCACTACACCAAAATGATCACCTTGGTGCAGAGGTTGTTACTGGCTTAAGTAGATGATACCGCTACATTATAAATTAATATTAATAAGTTGTTAACACTTTTTGTTAATAAATTTTTGCAATGGATTCCAACAAAATAATTAATTTCTTCTTCAAATTTATAGAATCTTTTATGTATAAATAGCAATTTTGATGTTTTTTTAAATATTATTAAAAATAAAAGAATAGTTTGTGTATAGAACTAAGGATTCTATCCAATGATTATCAGTTATCCAAATCACAATATTGTATAAAATCTAGATAAATAATTTAAAATATTAAATGAATACACACGCACAATCAAATTGCTCTAGACTCGAAATTTAATCATAGAGATCCACAATAGAGATCACAATAAACTGATTACTGGATCAGCAACATCGTTGCTCGCGGAACCTAAACTGGAGTCTATTTCTCAAGGGTCATCATATACGGCTTGTTAAATCCAATTCAGTCTCAAACCCTCAGGGGTCCGTAACGAAGAGACTTCGAAGAATGGGGTAATCAAATGGACTTTGTTCCCACGAATTATAAATCTGGATGGTGGTTTATAATTATGTTGTCCATTGCCAATAGTCCATCCAGTAATTCAATTGAGGCTTCATTTTAACGCAATGAAATGAATACAAACAAGTAATATAAAAAAATTGAGTCAATTTCTATTTAGGTCAAAAAGAAAATTTTTATTTTAGTTACTTTTTTAAAAATAATTACAATTAATATCAATATGTATATACATTTGACAGAATTACAATATTAAGTGACAAAATAGAAAGTGATTTTCCTTACAATTTTCCATTTTCATTTCTATATGTGGTGTTGGACTATTTTTTGTTACTATTTATTCATTAATTAAATTTAATTATTCTAATAAAATAGTATAGTAAAAAATAAATCATTCTCAGAAATTAGGCCATTCCAGGTGGGATTCGAAACCACTACCTTTGAATTAGAAGTCCAAAGCGCAATCCTTTTGCGCTACAGGGATACAACAAGCGCTTTTCCTTTCGATATGTAGGAATATTTTTTCTTTACTATTTATTCAATTTTTAAATTAATTAATTAATCTTTGAAAAACTATATTAACATCAAGTTTCATCCATCCACTACAAGCTTAAAAAAATGTATTAGAACTTGAATGGATGAATAGAAAGTATTGTATTAACTATTGAAAATTTGAACGAGATATATATATCTATATATCTCGTTCACAAATTATATATATACAAGGGGTGATCAAATGAAAAGGTACGAAACGACACGGTGGGTACAAATATAGACTTTATTCAAAATATACACCATAAGCCTGAGCACAACGATCCCACTGATGAACAAGCCGCAGGATTCCTTGTTCCCAGAATTCCTGTGGCTGTGACGAGACCCAGTCCTTCACAGTGTCCTTGAGTACGTCGTCCGAGTTGAAGCGCTTTCCTTTCAGGTGTTTCTTCAGTGGACCAAACACATGGAAATCGCAGGGTGACATGTCCGGACTGTAGGACGGATGGTCCAACGTCTCCCATTGGAACTTGTCCAGTTCCATTTGTGTGACTCTGAAGACGTGTGAACGCGCGTTATCATGGAGCAGAACCACACCCTCCGTGAGCAGCCCCGGTCTTTTGCTCTTGATGGACCTGCGTAGGCGTCGGAGTGTCTCACAGTACACATCGGAGTTAATGCTTTTTCTGTGCTCGAGTAATTCTGTGCTCGCATCATTTGGACGCCGTTTTTTATAAGAGCCTTTGCTCTCTCCTGCGCATGCGGGCACCCGCGCATGATCCGATCCCAGTCAGAGTCTCCAATGGCATCCCGAGATGTCTCGCTACATTCTCCCTTGGCGGAATATGCAAATATTTAACTGTTTCATTTTTATGCCGTTTCGTACCTTTTCATTTGATCACCCCTTGTATATAATCTCGTTCACAAATTATATATATATATATGGAAAGAGTGAACTATAATAATAGGAATTGAAAAAATATATAAATAATATGAAGTCAACCTCGCGTCTTCAGAATCCACTGATAGCCAGCCTTATGCATATCTATTAAAAAAAGCTCATATTTTCAGAAAGGAATACTGACTCATTTAGGTAAGAAATATTAGAATATCTTTAAAAAAACAAAAGATATTCAACAAAATCAACTTGCAAGCAAACTCATTTTCAAATTGCTGAGCTCTTTCTTAAAAAAAATAATCCACCTTTAAAAAATTTATGAATAAAACAAAAAGTATAACTGTCTATAAAGACATAGTGCGTGCATATGGTAATCTGCTTTTTATAATGCGACACAGAGCTTTAAAAAGATTTTACACACTTTCTTTGGCTGCGTGTAGCAAAAGAAAAGAAAAGGAATAAAAGAAAAGCGAATCTAATTATTGGAATGGACTCGAAAAGGTTTTGGCAACAGAATGTCCATTTTTCACGAAATGGTTTTAATTGAGATGATGGGATTGTGAAGCGTCATAAAAATCCACATTCAAGCGGAAACCAGATCAGAGCGCTTTTACCATTTTCTTTTTAAATTTGTTCTGGTGACTGCCCCCTCATCCTCTTACTGTATAACTGCATAAAAAACATATTGCTTAATGTTACATGTGTGTGGATGTATTTTGAAATTTCTACGACGGATGTTGTTTTCCTTCATACCGTTATACTTATTGGATTTTTGGTGGTCGTAGTGCTTCTGTTTTGTTTGCTGCTTTTTTTAGTTGAAAATTGCTTTTACGACTTCTTTTTAACTGAGAAAGAAAAACGAAATATTCGTGCATTGTTTAAATTTTAGCTTGAGTTTTATGACTTTTCCGAAACAAAAAATGGTTTTCGTTCTAATAAATAGTTTTTATCACCCTTTGTTTTTATTTAAGCTTTAAGTATTTTGTACCTTTTCTCTGCTAAAATTTAAAGAACAAAATGAGTGTCATTATACATTCATTAAACTTTCTCATCCTCATCTTTGTCTACAATTAGACCTCTATAAAACTTTTACGGAAGAAATGTAAGTCGTAAATCCTTCGTCTCATTTTAAAGACATAAAAATATATTTGATTTTCAGGAACTGTGATATTTATGAAATATGGATATTGGTTTTTGACTTTGTCTTTGTACAGAGATTGTTCTTGTGCGCTTTGATTTACTTGGTAATTTCTTGTTTAGTTAACTTCGCTCATCAGTCACAAAAAAATGATGGCGAATTATAGAGAATTCCGAACTTCAATTAAATGAAATACAACTTGTACAACATTCCCTCGAATTTCATATGTGAATTAAAAGACTCAGTTGAATTTGACGAGCTGAAGTTTTATTTACCACCCGCGATAATCTTTTATTATTTTTTTCTTTCACCCTGTGATCTTCGATAAATTATTGAACCTTTGATTCTGTGACTATTAAATTGTTCCTCTATTAATATGCATCATTGCTCATGATTGAAGATTCTCAAGTTGGCTCACAGGGTTGAATTCCTGAAAAGAAATTCGCCAAGACTCATCGAGTGGAATAATAGAGGATTTTACATAATAAATTAAATTAGTTCCCTTAAATGTTCAAGTACAGTGAAAATCGTTTAACACAAAATGAAGTGGACAGAAATATTTTTTCGTGTTAGACAATATTTTTAAAAAAAAACATGTATTCAACAAAGTACATCTTATTTACATAAATATGTATATATGCATGTATATAATGTATCAATGAAACAAAGCCATTCACAAGAGCTTGATGAAATTTAATGCAAAATTTTCAAGTTTTTTTGCAAAACAAAACATTTATTGAGTTTTTGGAAAATAATCTGATACTTTTCTTTGCTTTGTATGTTTTAGCATCAAATTGTCAACAAATAGTTCAATTTCGTCCATTTTGTAATTCATTTCACCACTAGAATATGCGTCTAAATATCTGCGCAAACTTTTCATGATGTTATGTTATGGAGCTGCGTTATTAATTTCATTTACGTCTTCGGAATCTGCATCAATGATATTTTTTTAGTTTTGAACAAACTGTGAAATGTTTTAGTCTGCCATAATTGAGGCGGTACACACACACAGTATCATCATCTACTGCAACGAATTTTTCAGATGGTATAGCAGGACAGTCCAGACCATTTCCGTATTTTGTTTATTCCTAGAAGGGAAATCTTTTCGTGTTAAGAGAAAAAAATGAATGAAAATACATAGTAGTTTGTATAAACCGATGTATTATTTCATGTTAACCGATATTTCGTCTTAAGCGGTTTTACGTTAAATTTTACTGTAAATGGTTTCGAAACAAAGCACTATCTCGTCTTGTGTGGATTTTATTATCATGATAAAATAAAATCAAGCTAGAGCTATTTTTATGCAAGCAGGAAAAAAATGTCAAAGTTAATTTTTTAATTTTAAAGACTTTGAATATTTCCAGAAATAAAACATTATTCTTCTAAAGATTGGAAGTCTTATTCATATTTTTAGCAATGATATATTCTGTAAATCATGAAATCGATTTCATTGTAGAACTAAAGGTGATAAGAGGAAAAGGAAATAAAGATGGAAATTATATGTGTCATATTTCAGCGACACAGTAAGGACAACTATGAAATTGAAAGTCTTTATTGAAGGTACGGGGTTTCCTTAATAGAGAGAACACTGGGGCAACGTGTTACAATGCTTTTTAACAGACAAAAGAACCCCGACTGTAGGGGGCGACGATATTTAAATACGGAAAGTCAGAAGAGATAACGAACAGGCAAATTCCCCCAAAGCCATGATTTATGGTGTTTTCCAGGACTACTGGTTTTGTGCCTCTAGACAGAGGCGGTACTAGGTCTACAGAGAAGGTTTAGTGTCTGTAGGGGAAAGGATGACGAAATATTGCATTCATTTTACATCATGCAAGTTTTACTTTAAAGGTTACAAATATAAATATCTATTTTTATATTATATATATTTACTTGGAAACTTTTGTAAAGAGTTAAGCTTCCAAAAAAGTAATTACGGATACCATTCAAAAAATTAAATATCTTTTATTCTAGAAAAATTTTGCTTTAAATTTAATTAATCCTGAAGAATAGCATATTGTGAAACGTGTCATAACACTCCTTATATTCCTACCTAAATGTAACACAAAATTGATTATTTTGCAGTTTATTTATCAACAAATTAAAGTAAAACAAGTACACTCACTCCAAGATCAAGTATCGGTTTCTTAAATCAAAGTTTTCTTATGATATTTGTCAACAGACAATTTATGTGTGAAATCATTAAATTTTAAACTTTTAGGAAATTATCTTTCCTTTAAGTCACGCTGAAAATTATAATTATAATTCTATTTAAAAATATATTGGAAATGCAATCACGCTGTACGTAGAATTTCGAAATCTAACCTTGAGAATAAATGAAAATAAGTGTATGTAAAAGTCTTCTTGTAAAAATTTGAGGATTAATTAATATTCTAGTAAATGTTTGAGCATATTATAATACTGTATTTTTTAATAATTTGTAATGAATTTAATTTCGAAACAAAGCTATTCTTTTTTGTTAATTGCGAAATACATTTAACTCCAAATGTAGTTATTTCTTAAATTTTCTTGAATTTACGTTTTGTAATTTTTTTTTTATGTAATGCAATTTCGAATGTACGAATGTAATTTCGAAACAAGGTTATTCTTACTTTTTTTGTTGATTGCGAAATAAATTTAACTCCCCAAATGTAGTTGTATCTTAAATTTTCTTGAATTTGCGTTTTGTATTTTTTTTAAAATTCATGATGTGTGTTGCACCAGTGGAAATGTTTATTCCATATACCATATCCTGATTTGGTTAAATAACATATGTTCCCTTTCCAAAATAGATTGTTTTAACAGAATTATTTAAATCATTAAACTTAATGGGAAGGATAGATATTTTAGCTATCAAATAACATTTTTTTAAATTTTGAGAAATCAAGATATTATTTCTGTGTTATATTAAGCTTTTGTCAAACGTTTTTATATTTGTAAAATTTTCATTTTTGAT